GTAATCATTAATTTCATCGAAGCCCTTATCTATAATAATAAAAGTAGTAATAATAATTCTACTTTAAAAGAAAAACTTTTTAAAAAAGTAGTTGCTGTCAATGCAATTTATGGATCAAAATATAAAAATTATGTATCAGAGATAAATCTAGTCCTATCAGCAATTAGCACAGTCTAGAATGATTGTTGATATTGATAATCACATTATTAGTTCTGAAAGTTATGTAAAATTTATAAATTAGTTAGAATCTCTTGCAATCAAACAAGAGCTTATGCATGAAGGGCCTTTATTGCTAGCTTTTGATAATGAACAACAGGACTAGTACAATTACTTTGATCGAGACTTTAATACTATAATTTATTATATAGTTACAAGTCTTGTTGTATTTAATATAGATAAGAAAAATCAAATCCAATTTACAACAGATTGCTGATGTTATGATTTCTTAAATGATTATCAGTTTAAAAGCTATATTATCTTATATCAGAAATGAAAACAGAATGTGAATTAGAATTAAATACATATTTGCAGTTAATTTTAAACGAACTTATTAACAAAAAAAAAACAATTCAAATTTAATTGATATGATAATAAAAAAATCAAAAGGTGTTAATGGTCAATCAAAATAGTATAAAAAGTGCAATACAACAAACATCAATAATAGAAAGTATAATTGCTCTAAATGTAATAAAAAACTAGATACATTAGCCATATTACAAGCAGAACCAACTAATGAGCTTGTTCAAATTAGTAATTTGACCTCTCAGATCTCTCAATTAAAACCTATTATAATAAAATATAATACTTTTACTCATGAACAAAAAACTTTAATCTTTGAACATATTAGCATTACACAAAAATTTGAACCTGATCAAAATGTTATTGTTCCAGAAATGTATGTTTTTGGCCCGTTAGAACTAAATCCTAATTCAGTAAATAATATTAAAAAAAATTTACAAAAATAAATAGTAATGAGTGAAAATGGTTACCAGTTGTTTGCAATGTTATTCTATATAATTTTGCTCAAAAGATCAAAAAAAGACTTTCCTTAGAGCCCTACACAAAAAAATGATATGCTTAAAGTATTTGTGAAATTAAATTAGTTTTCTTTCATATAATAATTATTAATTTTTTTTTTTGTTTTATATTTTTGTCTAACCAAAATTCTTCATTAGAGTTATCACATCAAACAATTTGCTATTTGTCAAGGGTATAGAACAGAAAATTAGCTTGTGTTTTTTACAAAATGTGTTAACCATCATAAATCATGTGACTCAATTTGTGAAATTTATAGGTATGCTATGATGTGTGAATTGTTATAGCTATATGTGGTTGAAGCTGAAAACCCTTTGTTTAA